ACATTATATATTACATACATTATAGTTTCAAATATAGATTTACTTCTGCGACGCGCTCTATCGCAAAATTATTTTTATTTCTTTGACAAAGCTCTTTTTAATATTTTCATATAATCAGGAATTATACGGGAACGATTGCGTGCCGAATAATTAAAATAATGATAAAGTCGGAACAGACGAACGCGAGCTGCGCGTTAAGGTCAGTAAGTATGTGTAATCTACGAATAATCTGCTTCAATAACTTGAAAGTTTACGGCAGGTATTCTGATTGCGAAGCCTTGTAACACTCGATAATAATACTATTACAAGCGTTGTTCCTGGTGGAAAATATAGGTAACTGGCATAAGGACGGTCACCCGCGCGTTCGCGCACGTGTGTTACGATACAACCCGCGAGTCTGACAGTCGCTTTTTATTCCGGATGTACTGGCGTGATATCGCGTGCTCGGCCTCGGTAGAGTGTGAAAGTGCGTGCATGATACGGGTGATAAACCGTAGTGAAAACCAACGGGTAATTCTAAATGGCATAGTCAATCGCGCTCTTTGTGTACGTGCACAATTCACTCCTCGCACCTGCGAAATGATCGATTAAACCTATGAGTAACAAAAGATTGTTTCTAATGATCGTGTAGTGACTCCTAGCAGGCTGACTCAGTCTCGTCATTCGATACTTTGTTAGGGCTGATGTCAAAGACTGATTTGATCCAGATGCTAGTGAGAGCTTTGAATGTTAAATTTATTAAACAGAAAAAAGAGAAAAAATTATGATCAATGGCAATCGGTTTTCTATCTCACTTTTATATTGGTTTAAATCTGATAACTGAAATGTTACCGTACTTTTAACGTTGAGTGAAGTCTATTATTGACGGTGATTATAACGGTAATTATATGATTGCACGATCGCATAGGTATACATGTGAACAAACACTATTGACGAAATTCTCGCACAAATAATAAGATACATTACATCTGTGTAATTTCAGTAATAAAGTGTATAATCGTAACAAACAATAAGAAAAATGAATAAAAAACAGTCAATGCGAAATAAAGAAAGGCAAGTATAATTAATACCTCACCGTTAGCTATCCCACCGTTAATCTGATCTAGATTATAATTTTTATAATTATTATATTGTCAGTGAGATTATATTGAGCGGAAGATTGTAAGTGCACAATACTCGCAATATAATCGCGAATAGCTATTAACTTAGCATTATTAAAAATATAAGAGCTATTAAAAGATAGAAGTTTCGTCATTTTTTATCTTTCAATATTTGTTACAATATATATATATATATATATATATATATATATATATATATATTTTGATCTATTCATTATTAATTTTATTCCGTAATATATCTTTTTATCATAAAATGGAAAAAAATGTATGACATCACTTATGTTAAAAAATAGTTAAAGTAATTTTACTGTTTTCGTTTTTCATAGTCTAGTAATAATTCATGTATTTTTTATTAACAACATTCTTACTCTGAAGGTTTTCATCAAGGACTTGGCAGAGCTGTTAATTAACTGTAATCAGGTAAGCAGCATCAATACCATGACCTAAATAATTTCTTTAACACTTATATAATGCAAAGATCTGATTTCTACTGTTTACCAAGTTATCGAAAATATTTGAATAGCATTTATCAATTTAGAAGATTCTGTATAAAACACGTTAATCACATTATATTTCCATCATACGTTATTTCATTAAACTTTTTAATAAGTTTAATCAAATTAAATAAAAATAAATGACAGAATGATAATAACATAAAAAATAACGCAAAAGTATTATATGTATATTTAAATAAAATATAAAATACGAAACCACACATAATATATTATATCTTTTTAATATTAATTACACAAACTATGATTTACAGGTACGTTATCCTACTAATTAATCTACATATTAATTTCCTTATCCACATTTGCAATTACGTACATGTGATGGAAAGTTGATCGAAAATCATTTCGTGATTATGCGCGTACGGAACATCAGTCTGACGAAATTATTGCAGAATGAACCTCGATGATATAACTGAACTTGTAGTTCAACAATATCAACGATCAGCTCATTTATCAAGAGCAATCGTTTGAAGATATTCTTATTGAATTTATGTAATAAAACGGCGAACTAATCACATGGCAAATCAACTGTTAACATGCAATTCATTCCTTGACGTTTATTGTACACGAGCAAATGAACCATTCGCTTCGGCATCATCGAAAGTAGTTCAGTAACTTCTAAAGCGAATCAGGTGCAACAAATCAATCTTTTTTATATACTTTTTTTTACATCACTATGTAGATTACTGATTGCAACACGAGTCAAAAACATAAAGAGTTGAAAGTGATTATTGTGCAATTCTCAGAGCGTATTGACATAAACACGATGTTTTATATTAAATTATAGTAATATAAAATTCTTTTCATTTATCTGTCATGCAAATTATGGTAACGCAAGCACTGCATTTAACATTGAATGTGCGATGAGTACATGAACGAAAATAGTATATCACGATAGTTCACGTAATGTTACTTTTTCAAGAAGCTGCTGTTAAATCATAAGCAATTAATCATACGCATTAATGCACAAATAACATCAATTCTGCTTTGAATATTCACTCAAATATGCTCACGTATCGTATCGTATTGCAAATCTGAACGCGAGCATTCACGCATGTGTTTAGCATATGCAACTGCGCTGAACGAGATAAGGGGGATATCCCTTCGTTGTAATTGATCGTAATAAAAATCTACAACGCGAAGCTTTTTGCGCGGTTTATAAATAAATCGCTTAGTAATCCTGTCTGCATCGTTTTATTAGTCTGACACACAAATATGTGCGTGTGAGAGCGGGCTGCAACAGACAACTATACTGCTTTCACATGAAGGTTGTATTTGGAATTGGACGAAGACGCGCTCATCTGTCCGGCATTTCTATTTCAGTCCACGATTTCTATCGATATTCGATACCTCGCTTTTTTCGAGTTTTTCCAAACAACTGACGAATCTACTGCAACTATCGATCGTAATAATTATGATGTACCTCCTCGTTACTTTGAGATCGTTTGAAAACTCGATGACAAGTACTCGACAATCGACCGAAGCTTAATGTGTTCATAATATGAGGATGTAATGCATTAAAATTCTTTAGAGATCGAAACAGATCACGTGGATGACTATGAACAAACTTCTTCGAACACCCTAAGTACAATGAGTCCAAGGCTGCTGTGCCGTAATTCAACTTTCTGTCGAGACTGCCTGTCCTCTTCGTCTGACACTGATTGCTAAATATTCCGCGCTTTATTTCTAACACGGCGTACTTCACGAAAGCGTGATACGATATTTAAGCATGCTTTTATTAATGCAATAATATTACGTACAAAAATATAAAAAATAAAAATCCATGCATTGATATTATTTTATCGAAATCTATCATAATAAAAATGAATAGTACAAATTACAAAAGCAATTATGAAATAAACATTGCACAATAACTATTCGTTTACCGAAAAAAAATTAATGTCTATAATTTGCATGTTTTACATTGATTATACATCTCGATGCGATGTATAATTAAATATTCTTTTTTTGTTCAGAAAAATTATTATTAAATCTTAAGTGAGAAAAATAGCCTCTGTTGACCTAAATTTAAATGTGACACTTATTACACGGTAGTGCAAATAGATAGACAGTCTCATAGCTGAAAATTATAATTTACTACATCACGAGACGTCCCCTCACATTGCATCGTATTCAATTTATCTTTGTTAAATCCCCGCGTTAATTGTGGAGCGGAAAGTAATATTGCTAAGTACAATCATTCAAGTCGGTAGTCTGAATTTTTAATATTTCATAAACATTTTTCTCATAACTATTTAATTATATCAACTACTTAATTCCAATTTGATACATTTTGATATTTTATATAAAAAATATACATGTATGTATATTAAATATTGTATACATTGCATTAGATTTTAGTGATTTGCGATTGCATAATTACAAATATACGAGCGAGCTGCTCACCGACCGATGAAACAAACGGAGCGGATTAAATTGCGGATTAGTACCAATAATCCGGATAGAATTTCGATCAATTTCGGAATACCATATGAGCGTTTAAATGAACACGTTGGATATGTTGATATGCAAAGTTGGAGCAACGAGTTCGCACGCATACATGCATATATTTATTATATCAACGATAAGTTTTCTTCCTGAAAGGAAACCTACTTTCCTATACCGATCCACGGCAAATCGGTTTTACCTGTTAGTGTATCGTCGACTAATAGAGGTTTATGTCAAATTTAATATATTTGATCGATGAAATATCATAAAATATATATTTAAATTCTATATCTTTTTTGTAAATTAACCAATATTATAAAATCCAATTTCTTTTTCAATACGCATTGTTCCACTTATACATGTATCAATTAAAATGTTTAAAATATATTTTACACAAATTTACAGATTTAAAAAGTTTTTATATATACTCAAAACTTAGACTTGAAATAAAAAATTGTATTAAAACTTGAACTTTTAACTTATTTACTTCGATTAGAAATTCAAAGTTTCGTATAGATACAATCAGAGTGAAAACGTTTTGAAATTTAGAGTCAAGACGTGAGTGGAAAATAAAAGTAGATTTGACCATGAAACGAAACATTCTTACTTAAATAAAGATTACTTATTTCGCAATTCTCTCTTTACGTAGATAGCCGCAATATTATTGACAGAGTAATGATATTTTGTCAATATAATATATAATATAAAGAAAAGAATTAACTGTACTATAATTATATAGTTTTAGAGGTATTTGATTTTTCTCAATGCAAAAAATATATGTACTTGTTATTGTAACTAATTTTATCGATTAATAAACCTAATCAATTTATACTATAAATAAAAATTGTGATTTTACAAACATGTGTTTTTATTTAATAATCTTAGCGATTATCTAAATCGTGATTAATCGGAATCTTACCTAAGCACTTTAAGATTTCCCCATCTTCGTTACTTCAATTTGTTTATCAGGAACTTTGCAGCAGTCAAGTGTCATACAGTATAGTTTGAAGCATCAATGATCATCATTACTGGCTCTTCAAGCAGCTAGCCGTATCTGCAAGTCGAATGAATGGCTTCTCCCTATGATCACTGTTGATTTGACACTCATCGTAAACCTCAATGGACAAAAATATGATCGAATTTCGAAATCAACCAAACCGCGCAATACAACCCCCGATCGATTCTACATCGATTTTCGATCATCCGATTAACATATTACGTTACTCACACAATCTATCATCACGTACGATAGTACACCGATCGATCTATGCCGGGATGAAATCTCGTCGGCGATCTTTCGCGGCTGCATCCATCTCTCGACCTGTCGGCTCTCGGTCGATCGATAACACGAACCGGGCATCGAGCGTTTCCGTTCTCCCTCACTCGACTTGATTTTCGATACTTCTTTCTCTCTCACGGGGGACAGATGTCAAAAATTTGCGCGCGACGACGCGCCAGATCGTGGATCGATCGATCGATCGAATCAACGGATAACGAAACCACCGCGTTTGTCCTCAGCTTCGTACCCCATATGAAGGGGAAGTTTCCTGGTCGGACGAGGTACGGAAGGACACCTTGGCGATCTCGCCGACGATCCGATCGATCGATCTCGAGCGCGATCGACGCGGCGTTTTACTCGGGGGTCTCTCTCGCGCTGGGCCCCCCGATCTGACCGTGGGCACCGAGCGTCTGCGACTGCGGCTGAAATCTCGAATCTATTCGCGGCAAGCGAGTAAAGGAGCGAGCGAGCGCCCGCGAGAGAGCGCACAGCGTGTGCAAGCGTGACTTAATGCACTATATATACACGCACGCGTTACATGCGTGTGCGTGCGCCAAATGTATGCACGCGTGAGTAATCGACGATGGTAGGGAAGGCGTTTTATTTTGCTGTGGGTGCAGATAAGAAGGATTTTGCTTTTCCTGCGGATCTCGCAGACTCCCGGACATCGCTCGGTTATCTCTCAAAATTTGAATGATCATGTAATTGCGAATTTGTAATTTAAGATAAATTAATTATACAAGAGAGAAAAACTGTATATATCATTTGTCAAATATTTCTTTTGCTACTCGTATTACATCATTTTCCCTATATATTTTATTAAAAAATTTTTTAATATATTTTTTAATTAATATAACATTGAAAAATAAAATATTCTGGGATATAATGATTTATTCCAGTCTCTTTACGTGTAAATCATTTCGGTTGACCTTCGCTGAGCAAGTGGGAGAGCGATGTCAATTATACCTTGTATAAGTATAATAGCAAAGGTGCCGGTTCTGATCCGATTTACATGACATTTTCCATTTTCATTCAAATATAGTTTAACTGTGTCAGTCATCTTTTATTTGAAAAAAAATTGCTCTTAAATATACATAAATGTTAAAATACAAAATAGAATGAAAGACAGAGTGAAAAAATGAATATGCATATATATCATTAAACAAAAGGAAGTTAATGTACAAATTATCGCTTCGCTTATATAATTATTTTATCATTCCTGAACTAACAAATGAATACTTTAACACGGTATAAATTAACAGATAGCGTACTTAATAATTACTTAACTCAGACTTAGTTTGTAACGTTTTGCGAGATTTGATAATTTGTTTCGTAATGTTTGAACTGATTCGCGCCGTCTCATTACCTACTAACTTCCTTCTTACGATAATGCCTCTTCCTGCCGTTCCTTAACAATAAAGCTTAATTTGCACCACCTCTAACGTTCATTTCCGTTCTCACGTTCATTCGCTAGCAAATAGATTCAATTGTATTTTCTCTCTAACATCTATGCTAACACTTAATCTTATGTTAGTGAGTATGCAGTCGAGAAGCAAGAAATTTTCAAGTACGCTCGTCGACAGACGAGACAATTTTTTGGACCGTCTTCACCGAACGGGTGTTTATTTCAGATCCGGTTATTCCGTGTTACGCGAAGTATTACATAATCACGAGCACTGTCGGTGAAAGGCATTTAAATTCAGCCTACATCGAAACTCTCGCAGAACTTGCAATTGTGTCAATGTTTCATTGTGTCTCAGGATGATCTTATCTTAAGGACTCTATTCTATCCGAGTACGTTTCTTCAAATTTAGATTTATCTATTTGTTAATTACAAAGAAAATCATATTTAAGTATAATTATTGCACGCGTAATTATTATAATAATATATTATAATTTATTATAATAACTTTTAATAATAATATATTATTGTTTTAACATTATTTAATGTTACAAAAAATATCAGATGTATTTTATGCAAAAGAAACCTAGATGAAGTTTATTTCGACACGCAAACAAACCAGTTTGGATAAATGCAACCGGAATGTGACGTTTAGATAGATTTACATTTTCTAATCGTAAAGAAAAAAAATACATAACCGCAAAAAAAATGATATCTCCGAGGTTAATAACGCATCGCATGCATCTGCCCATAATATAAACTGCATGATCTTCAGATTGCGGTTACCGTTATTTTCCGCCTGATACATAAGCTGAACCGCAAAAGCTATCTTTATTACAAGTATTCCCTTCCAGCGATTCTCCACTTATACTTATATCTATAAAACATATCGAACAGATTGACTGACTTACTAGCTGAAAACGTTTTTATCCATTGCAAGAGAAATGACCAGTCACAGAAACCAGGTAAGGGTGAAGGTCATGGATATACCATGTTCTGAACACGTACACGTTCCTGAACACGTATCTTACTCAAGAACATATATTACATATAAAACCCTATATGAGGTATTACAAGTTCATCATCTTTTTTTATATGCATGGATTTTTCCGCTCTTGAAATTGAGTTTTATCGAAAGAGCTATTATCGTTAATAGTTCTTAGAAAATGATAAACGATTAAAAATTGAAAATCTGCTTACACAACTTTATAGCTTCAGGGATATATATACAGATATAATGATAAAATCGCATCATACATTATTTTTATATGAATTTTAAATTATTCAAATTTTTTAAATTCATATATTAACTAGAAAAACATCGTTGAATATTAAAAATACGTTATATTAAAATACATAATGAACAATCAAAGTTTCACTAAGCTGAATTACGATTGCTTCAATTTTTTGAATACTGTTTTTTGTTCTTGACAGCCGAGTAAAAGATGCAATAAACCATTACTTTGTTTTCTTGCGTTCGCGCAAGATAAGTGCATTTCAAGATTTCGCAGCTGCGACCGCCGCAAAACGATGCGGTAATTACGAGTCACAATAGCGAGGAAATGAGTGTGAAGAGGTCGTGTAACGGACTGAAGATGCAAAGACCGCATACTGCATATGTGAAACTCTTCCTCGTAACATATTTTTATATTCTGAGCAACCTAGGAAGAGCATAAAACCAATAAAATTGTATAATTACATCCCACAAGCTATAATTTTCGGGTACTCTGCCTTCACAAAAAATCTTCACCGAAAAAATTGTATTCTTAGCGTTTTCTTAGCAATTTTTCTAAATTTTAGTATATTTTTTTCTGAAAATAAGAATAAATTAAGAGAATCCTCTTGGCGCTATTTTTCGGTATTTAAAAAATTTCAATATAATTAGCAATAATAACTAAATCGATTACTATTTCATTATCTGTTTCCCAAGCATTATATTAAAAATTAATTAAAAAATAATTATATTAAAATTTTTTTTAAAAAGAACTTAATTTATGTGTGTACATCCAAAAGTTTTCAAAAGACTGCTCATTTCATAAGAATATTATAAAATGTGTACAACAATCATAGTATCAACAAAGTGCACCTATTTACCAGATTATAGAGAAACTTTATGAAACTGGTTGTATCTTATGGGTGAAACTGTACGAGTATATTGGTAACCTTGAATGATGAACGGATATTATCATGAATATAGTATCTCACTCTAATTTATGCTAATCCACGGCTCCTTCTATACTTATGATACTGTGCAAGCAAAGTCATTTCATAATAAATCGAAAGTTTGTGATCGATTCAGCATATTTTCAGAGAATATGTCACCATCACATTTAAGAGATGTTTTTGAACACGTTGTATATAACAAAATAATCAATAAATTAAGATAAAACGATTAATATGTTGAATAAAAACTTTATGCGAAGATATAATTTATAATTTATTTGTTTAACTTTTACGTTTTTCACTCGATCTAACAAATTTGCTGTTTAATATCTCAACAGAAACATCTATCGTTCAAAAAGAAAAATAACAATTTTTCATTCTTTTGCTAAAAATAATTATATTACCTACATTAAATTTATTATAGAAATAATTCGAAATATTGATTATAATTAAAGATTTATTTTTATCAGGCCATTATTTTTATTTTCCAACTATATCAGGCAAGTCTACTTCTGTATATTCAGATGTAGAGATCCAGTCTACCATCAACTGGTTAGAAGCAGAGGGCGCCAAGAACTTGTTCAGCTTGTTCACCTCGGAGAGTTATCTGTTGAGACTTATATATTTTTTTATATGCATCACATGCAGTAAATATCAATATTCATATTGTCGACGTTTGATATACGCAGATGTATATATAGTTACTTTTGTTGCATTTCTTATTGCATACATTTTGGAGTAAATATCCAAGATTGATTCATATGTGTTCCACAAATACATTTGTTGCAGCAAACGTAAAGTAAACTTAATGCATGCAAGTATGCCATCAATCTCTGAAATGCCTGCATCCCCAAATCGTGGCATAACTGTGACCAACCCCCATGAATAAAAATTCAGCCTTCGCATAATAAAGAGATTCTCGCAACTCGGCCACTTGAGTTCGAGGAGGGTTCACTACGTACTCAACACGCGAAACATGAAAGTCATTCACATAAAATATGTATACGATAATCGGCTCTACACGCTCATCATAACGCAACGCGTCAACACGTAACCATAGGCGTCTCTTCAAACTTACTTTTAATATTATAAAAAGATCTTAATAAACTTAAAATTGGTCCATTTAACATTTTACATATACCAATAAGTATTAATGAATATGTTTGAAAATTGGATATTATAAAACTGAATAACATAATTTACTTTTGAATATTATTCATATTTTTTCCTGGCATGTTATCATTTTCAGGAAAAAAAAATTTCATTTATAAAAGCTCTTGTGAAAACTGTTCATCTCTGTTTACATATACACGTTCGCATATTTCGGAAATACAGCACAAAGACGCAAAAACTTAATGTCCTGTTTAATGTAGTCTTGCCCCCCATTGAGAGCGCCCGTGTATAACCAAAGATATCATCCCCCGGAAATACAGAGAAGGAAAAACGAAGGCGGAACAGCGAGGCCGCTCCAGCTGGCCGTGTCGAATTTTCTCAGTAGCGGGGGATCGCGAAGGGGCTGTTTTCAACCCCCTCGCTTCTATCGCGCCGCAGTCCATCATCATCGTCGACGACTTGTCAACCTCATTATGCTCACCGCGTCCCTGGTGATCATTATTAGCCAGCGCAAAGTGTGGGCCCGCGGTGCAAACTGGAGGCGACGTAACGCAATTCACCCCGTGCACGCATGACGGGCTCGCATGGGGGGTGTTTGCACAGGAGGAGAAGGGCTATCGCGCCGACGATGACGGCGGCGAGCCGAAGCGTGACGCAGCGTGACTCGTTTACTCACCATGGTTGCACAATGCACTCGTCAGTAGCGTAATCGGCTTGCATTGCGTTACTTTGTACTGTGAGAGCGTAGGCATCTCTTAAGTTGCGTTAGACTGCCACGAGAGTAATTTCAACGGTGGCGACTTCTGAAAA